CCCCAAAACCCCAAAACCCCAAAACCCCAAAACCCCAAAACCCCTTTACCTAATTTTATTAATGAAAATATAGTAGGTTTAGCCTATAATTGGGGTCTTCTACGACGCTTTTTCTTGGGTTTTTGCTCATAATCAGTGCTCATATTATCACGATCATCTTCTCAAAATTCTTTAGATAAAAAACTGCCGCTCTCATATTGATATAGAATTGATCCTTGAGAAGATTCTTCTAACTCTTTACTTTCTCTTCTTGATCAATCCTGGGTAACCACTTCTGATTTTTTCTCCTCTTCTGTAATAACAGGTTGTTGTGGACGAGGTCCTCTACAGGAAGAAAAGAAGTTAAATCATCCTCCTTTACTACTAGTTTCAATTATATTCATGTCTGTCTTTTGCTTCTTGACAAAGCTATCAGCTTTATTTACGGCGGATATAATCTGTTCTAAGAACCTCTTTCATTTCCTTAATCTTATACTCAGTTTCTTCTAGCTTATCATTGATCTCAATAGTCTGGCTTTCAAGCTCACATTTCTCTCTTTCCAATCGGATGCGATCAGATTCTAAACCTTGAGGTGAATGGCTTACCTGTCTTGGAGATTTCATCAATAATTCTGTCTCTAGAAATAATACTTAAACCCTTACTTTTCCTTAGCGATTTCTTTACGCTCAGTTTCAACTATTGAGAGTCCTTCGTTCATTTTATCGATTTTGTACCTAGTCAACTAAACAGTTAGGAGAGGGTGCTTACCTTGATCTTGTCCTGTAGCTTTTTCTCTGTGACTATACTGATAGATAAGGAACCTCACCAGTGAAGTCATTCAGTTTTTCTATTTCACGATCTATCATCTTGATGTTCTTTTCTTTGCACAAGATTACGCCTTTGATAGATTTCTCTTCATCCTTGATATTTTCAAGCTTCTCACGAAATTCTGAGAATAGCTCGTGGATGTAGAATTTTCTGTCACATACTATGCAACATTCGCCTCGGAGATCTGGATTTTGAGGGAACCTTCTTCGTTTGGGAAGTCAATCTCTGTGTTGATAAGAAATTATCCTTACTTTTTGCGTCCGCAAACATTATTTTCCTCAAAATTCACTAGAAATGATACCATTTTCCTACCAAAATGTGAGCTTAGAGGTGTCAATAGGATCGAATCATCATTTGCATTGATCCTTTATTTCCCTGTATCGTTGATCAAGAGGTCTAGCAAGGTTAAAAATGTAGTCTTCAGGAGAGTAAACCTGATCTTTCCCATTTATCTACTGATGATTAATACTAATTACTTTAAAAATTCTGAGGTCTTTCTCAATTTGGTCTTCTATGCTGCCAATCGCTCTTCTAGCGGCCTAAATATTAGATGAGCAAAGATCTTTGCAGATTTTTTATGTGATATTCACTTACAGTATCAAAATCTATAGAGCCAGATGTTAGGAAATTTTCCCCAAATGAAGAAAAATAAATATTTAAGATACAAAATGTGTCCATACTTTGTAATAAATTAGTAATCTGAGCCCTGGATATCCCACTTCGAGATCTCTTCCCTTTTCCTAAGCTCTGAAATTCACCGGAGGTTTTATGCTTCATTTCACTTCAATTATTTTATAAATACCAGGGGTTTTGGGGTTTTGGGGTTTTGGGGTTTTGGGGTTTTGGGGTTTTGGGG